TCCATTGGGAAGAGGGGGTAAGAAGATAGGGTGCCAAGGCCTGCCTTACCTTACAGTGACACCTGCTTGTTCCATTTGCCAAATCATTGTACCTATTCAGTACCTATCAAATATCCCTAACTTTACTTTCCTTAAACCTGTCCAAACCGATCCCAGGTAAAAGAAACTTTGAGCTCTGTCTGAGAATTCCTGAAAGAACTGGAGCAGAAGCTCGGCCTCAAGGAAAATTGGATGCTTTATAAAGTCAATTACTGAATCTTTATATTTCCAGAATTCAATGCTTAATGTAAATACCACAGGCTTAAAATGCCATTATTTATCAAAGGTGCTTTGAACTTGGTGAAGAAAAAAATGATATAAAATAATCACAAAAACTTGACATGTGTGGGAATCATTATGTTTTCCTATAAAATTCATTAAATATTCAGTATTTACTCATTAAATATTCAACAACAAGCTCACTGTGTAGCTACAACGAAGACAAGGAAATGTTTCCAAACATAATATTTATCTTCACAGGCTCACAACATTCCAAGATATTTCATCATGCTTCATCAGTGTCTGAGGTTCTTTTCAAACTGAAAATAATTTTTAATAATTTTTTTAAAAATCCTTTTAGATATTTTAAGTTATATTTTAAAGTTCTAAGAATATCAACTTACAGACTATTCACTATGTAAATGACTTTGTAGAAATTTTTTTTCTTGTTAATGTTTGGAAATAATATCAAAACTACATGAGAAAGTTCCCCATTTCATAGAGTCAGAGAATCTACCAGAGTTGGAAGGGACCACATTTAATCCAACCCTGACCTAAAAGAGAAATGCCTTCTATGTTTCCCTGACAAAGAATTGTGTGGTTTCTGCTTGAAGACCTCTAGTATCAGTAAATTCACAACCTCCCAAGGCCATAAGATTGTCAGATCACTTGTCGTCATCATCATCACCATCACTAACATTTATAGAAAGCTTACTATGCACCAGGCACTCTACAATTATTCTCTAATTTGAGCCTTACAACAACCCCGGGAGCTAGATGCTATTGTTATCCCCATTTTATAGAGAAGGAAACTGAGGCAAACAAAGATTAAGGGACTTGCTCCAAGTCCCACAGCTAGTGTCAGAGGCTGGATTTGAACTCAGATTTTCCTAACTCCAGACCCAGTCCTCTATCCACTGTGCCACCTAGCTCCCCCAACAAACATAGATTTAGCGTTGGAGTGGATCTTAAAAGTGATCTAGTCTGACTCCCTCCTTTATACAGATGTAGAAATTGAGGCCCAGAGAGGTTCAGTAATTTGTCCAAAGCCCCACAGGTACTTGGCAGAGCCAAGATGACAACTCAAACATTGTTCTCTTTCCATTGTACCTGGTAACCTATTCCATGTTTGGACAGCTCTTATGGCTTAGGAAGGTTTTTTTTCTTTGTTTGTTTTCATATATGTGTCTCACTGTAGTTTCATCTGGTTTTCTCATCTTTGGAATTGGAAGTTCAAAAGATAAGCACAAGAACAGCAAGAGATTTACCTGAAAACCCAGAGCAGAATTGGGGTGGTAAAATTTATACTATCCAGCCTGGTGTTCTTAGAAACTAATGAACTTTCTATTGGCATTTGTTTGGGTTTTTTAGTGGGATCCCAGGAGAAGACCTGGCTTTATATTGGGAGGGAATTCCCTCTCTCAATGCAGATCAGCAACTATTTCAAAACTAATCATTTTATTTTGTTTTTGTTTTTTTGTTTTTAGACAATTGAGGTTAAGTGACTTGCCCAGGGTCACACAGCTAGTAAGTGTCAAGTGTTTGATCTGAGTCAGGTCCTCCTGACTTCAGGGCTGGAGCTCTATCCACTGTACCACCTAGCTGCCCCCAAAACTAATCATTTTAGAAAGTTACCTGGGGCACTAAAAGGTTAAATGAGATCCAGGGTCGAGGACAGTCTGTGAAAAGTGTTAGGATGTTGTTTGTATTCAATAACAAAGTTCACATTCCGCTGAATATATGCAACACCTCCTAATGAGAGAATCACTTCCAAATTAATGCTCCAATGAAACCTATTAGAAAAATCTTCTAGGTTATTAGACATCAGTCTTGCCAATTGGCTCCAAAAGGGGTGACCTTTGAGTGGGACTTGCACCCAGGTTTTCCTGACTCCAAGCCTCGCTCTTTCTATACTGGGCAATGCTGCCACTTGTTTGGGCTAATATCCACTAGTATCTCATAGGGAGGCAGAGCTCTATCAGTGGGCAGCTTTGTGAATTCAAATGTGGCCTCAGGCACTTACTAGCTGTGTCACTTAACCCTGTTTGCCTCAGTTTCCTCATCTGTAAAATGAGCTGGAGAAGGAAATGGCAAACTGCTCCATTAACTTTGCCAAGAATACTCCAAATGGGGTCATGAAGAGCTGGACATGACTGAAAATGACAACAACAAAAAGACATTTATGGGAACAGAGCCCATAGGACCAATAGGAAGAGGGACTGAATCTGTGATTTCACTGGAACAGGAAACTCCCTCCTCTGCCAATGTAGGTCATCACCTTCCCTGCAATTTATCAACTTAGAGAATTTCCTAGAACACTGAGAGATAGGTCACATAGCTAGACTCTGTCAGAGTCAAGATCAGAACCCAGGACTTCTAGGCTCCAAAGCTAGCACTCTATCCACTCCACCAGAGATGTCAAGCATCCTCCCAAATACACTGGAACCAGATTAAAACACAATTGGGAATGATTTAACAAAACAAATAAAACACAACAGAGTATAGATAATGTTAATGTTTTCTAAGACAACATACAGACTGCAGGGATCCTTAAGTATGGCCCCATTTCTACTTGAGTTTGAATCCACAGTACTCTACTACTCTGTCTCTAGCATAATAATAAATAATCTTGTTATTGCACAATTATTATTGCATAATAAATAATCTTATATTTATATAGCATAGTTATTTATTTATAACCTCCCCAAAAGACTTACTTTGATGCCCAGCTGGGGCATCGTAGGTTCTCAAAGGTGATGCCAGCATACTGTACTGCAGCTCTGGCAAGTTCTATTACAATGACTCTGAATATGTGTCCAGTGACCTCTATCATCTAGTAACCCACACAGCTCAATCTGAGAAGCTCATTCCTTGAATCCAGTCCTCCATGCAATAATATTTTGAGATATGGCAACTCATGAAGACCATCTACTAAAGTTGCTATCTGCATTGGTGGGGGGAATAACTACACTTAGAAAATCATGGCTCTTTGGAAATACAGAAGTAAGCAAAACAAGTCATCTCAAGACCTCATTGATGCTCAACAGGTATGTAAGGCAGGAAAGTACCAAAACTAATAAACTCACACAATCTACTGGCATTTGTTTGGGTGGCACTGAAAGAAGGCATCATCTGATTCAGTGAAAAGGATATCAGATTTTCAGTCAAAAGACCTTGGTTCAAATCCCAGCCCTATTACTACCTGTGTGACCTAGGCCTCAGTATCCCCATTTATAAAATGAGAGGGTTGGACTTGGTCTCTGAGGTTTCTTGCAGGAACCTTAGAATAAATAATAATAATAATAATAACAACTTCGATTTAAAACTTACCTTGTGCCAGGTACTGCGCTAAGCACTTTACAATTATCATCTCACTTAATCTTTTTTTTCCCCAATTAATAAACATTTATTAAGCACTAATGTGTCAGACACTATGCTATGCACTGGGGATATATGTAAAAAACAATTTTTAACATTCTTTTTTAAAACTTTGAGTTCCAAATTGTCTCCCTCCCTCCTCCACTCCCCTCATTGAGAAAGCAAGCAATTCGATATATGTTATACATGTGTAGTCATGTAAAATATATTTCCACATTAGTCATATTGTGAAAGAAAATATAGACAAAAAAAACCTCAAGAAAAATAAAGAAAGTAAAAAAACTGAAAGATAGGTGTTATTATTATCCTCATTTTACAAATGAGGAAACTGAGGCAAACAAGGTTTAAGTAATAATAATAATAGTTAATATTCATACAGCACTGTGCTAAGTACTTTACAAATATTATCTCATTTGATTCTTAAAACAACCCTGCAGAGTAGGTGTTACTATTATCTCCATTTTACAGATGAGGAAACTGAGGCAAACAGAGATTTAAGTGAGTTGCTCAGGGTCATTCAGCTAGTTAGTGTCTGAGGCTACATTTGAACTCAGCTCTTTCAGACTCTAGATTTGGCATTCTGTCCATCATACCACCTAATTAGCCCAAAGACAGGCTTGGTCAGGTGCAGGTGAATAGAAGCAGTGAGAAGTGATTTGGTGGATTTGGTAAATCTATAAGCCTCAGTAATTTTTTCAGCCTTTATGCTTAAGGACACTAGACATTCATTCAAATTCTATGTGGGTACTTACTGTAGCATTAGATACAAAGGTGCTTTGGTAAAGGTATCATTTACCTTTAAAGGGGGTATCAAGGTTGGCTCTTGTATATAGGATGTTTTACCAATATGTGGCTGTCTGTTACTTTGGGTAACAAAGAAAGAGAAAAACTCCATTTTCATGATGAGTCTACACTAAACAGGCTACACCTGTCTCAGTATGGCAAAAGGAACCAAAGTGAGTGCCTACTGAGATGCCAGATCACAGGATCACGAATGTAGAGCAGAAAGGGACTTTCAGAAATCCCGGATTCCAACCCTTCCCTTTACAAATGAAGAAACTGAGTCCCAGAAGGAAAAGCGCTAAGGCTAGGGTCTCATCACTGATAAGCAGAATCCCAACGTCACAATCTGGGCCAGAATACAGGTCATCTGACTCCCAATGCAGGGCTCTTTTCACCATTCTTAATTCATTAGATATTTTTTGGTTTGGTTTGGTTTTTGCCTCATGAGGAACATGCAATTTCTGGCAATTCTAGTCATGTTTTTTGGATACCAAAGTAAACAAAAGCCGGGGAAAACCTTAAAGCCATTAGTCTGTATGAGACAAATCGCACATCCAGTTTGGAGACACTGCAGCTCTCACCTTTTTCCCTGAAAAGAAAATCCTAGACTGTCGCATTTGTACTCCAAAGGCAAATTCCCAGGAGCCCCGAAATCTTCAGAGTTCTTCCCTGTTGTTTGTAGGTTGCTCTGAGCTCACAATATTTCAGGTATAGTTTACTCGTTGCACCATGTCATAATTCTCCGGCTTCACAACCCTATTTATAGCTGTGTGTCTCTTGACTTCATTGTGCATCCCCGCCTTAAGATAACTGCATCTAGAGCCGGAAAGGACCATAAAGATCAGTCAAACGAGGATCTAGCTACTATTTACCAGGCGCCAGGGATGCCGAGATTACCTAATTCATTCAGCTTCCTCATTTTACAGAGGAGGAGGCTGTTTCAGAGAGAAGTGACTCCCTTAAGATCCCCCCACATGGTAAATAGCTGAGACTGCATTTGAACTAAAGTGCTAAATCCAATGTTCCGGACTCGTGGACCACCAAGGTAACCCTGGGTGTTTTCACGGAAAAGAGCGGGGACTTTGGGGCTGGAGGATGTAGGTTCAAGTACCATTTTGGCTATATTCTACCCACGTGACCCTAGCTAAGTCTTCCTTGAACCTCAGTTTCTTCTGACAAATGAGATCCTCTGACTATAATTCAAAATGCTAATTAAGTTTAATGACATTTCTTGTCTGAACCTCACCCAGCTTCCTTTCCAGCCTTCTCAGCCCCACACCCGGCTCCCTGCCTCACTCACCAAGCGTGGGGTTCGCCTGGAACCAAGCAGAGGCCAACAGTGCGCAGGGCGCAAGTCTCCCGCGGGCGCCTCGGCGCTTGCCTCCCAAGCCCATGGCTTTATCCACGCGCCTCCTCCCCGCCCCACCCTCCTGAGTCCGTGCTGCTAGGTTCCCCAGGGGCGTGAGGGGCAGCCCTGAGAAAGGGCGGGGAGGGGAGAGGGGGTAGGATGGGGTGGGGGTGAAAGCAGAGTTCTCGCCCCGGCTGGAAGTGGAGAGTGCTTGATTAGAAAGGCAAGGCGAAGAAAAGCCTGGCTAATTGTTTTCAGTATTTTTCTAAACGCCAGCTAGCATTGACACTATTGACCTGGGCCAGGCCTAGCTCCAACCCGTGACTCGCTGCAGTTCTGGCTCGGGAGGCGCTGAGTGTCCCCCTTGCCTCCAGCTGCTGATCTTTTCTTCCAGCCGCTCTTTTCTCGGAAGCTTCCTGGGACTCAGCCATGATAAAGAAGCCCTGGAGTTCTTGGGAACTCCAGGGCAGGGCAGTGCTGGACAGCGGCCAGCAGCGGCTCACCTCTCTTGCTGAGAGAGGGCATCGTCTCTGTTAGGATGCACCCGAAACTCGCCTGAAGCCACCTGCAACCAGAAAGAATTGATCACAACAAGAAAGTGTCTTCGTCCTTTAGGATTAAAGATTTCGAGCTGGAGGGGCCTTAAGAGGCAATCTAGTGCATCCTTTTCCTTTTACAGATGGAAATCGACACCCAGGAGAGTAAAACCACCATGCCTATGATCACACAGCTAGTAAATGTCAGAGGCGGGACTGGAACTCAGGTCTCTGTGACTCCAATTCCACACTCTCTCCACTACAGAAATACAGACAGGCACAGTCACAAGCTGAAACGGGGCTTCAGAACCCTTCTATTCCAGTACATACTGAAAATGATTTCCCACAACAATACACCTAACAAACGCTCGCGCTGTTTTTGTCAGGGGGCTTCCAGCACAGGTCATATGATCTTCGAGCCGAAAGGGACCTCAGGGCCCATCAAGTCCATCCCCATTCTTTTACAGATGAGGTACAAGGGAAATCAAGTGATTTTGCCCCAGATCACATAGGTGGTAAGTGTCAGAGAAATGCACTGCCCTTTTGGACAGCTCTTAAATCTTTCCTGCCCATTGCTGCTAGCTCTTCCTTCAAGGGTCAAGAACAGCCAAGTCTTCCACTTGACTGCTTCTCAGGTAACCTCTTCTTTCACCTCCCCCACACACACACTCCTACTCTTCTCCGAGACTTCCTGAGCTCCTCTCAATGCTCCTTAGATGATGATGGGATGGTATGGGATGGCCTGGAGTCCCCTACTCATTCTGATAACCTTCTTCTTGATATTCTCTTTCCTAAACTGCAGCCCCCACAACTCTATGCAACACTCCAGATGTAGTCTGACCAGAACAGAACACAGTACAACTACTGCCTTCTTCCAGGAAGCTGTCCGTCTCCATGTAGCCCAAGCTCAGCTGGCTTCTTTTGACTGCTGTATCTGTTTTCACTTTCACTGCTGAGCTTGTTCTCTGCTACAATATCACTTTGTATATTTCATTTTATTTTATTGGAGGCAATTGAGATTATATGACTTGCCCAGGGTCACACAGCTAGTAAGTGTCTTGAGACTAGATCTAAACTCAGGTCCTCCTGACTCAAGGACCAGTGTTCTATTCACTGTGCCACCTATCTCCCCCACTTTATACATTTTAAACATAATCTATACAAGCTTAAGCAAGTAACAAGATTCAGTAATAAAACTCTCTCTTCCTCCTATTTAGTTTTGGACTTAATTCACTTTACTACCATCCTCAAAAGATAAGGTCATATCTTAGCCTATCTCAAAGAAATATCCTATCTAAAGAAATAGAAGTTGTTCTTCTTAGTGACATCTTGTTGACTTCCATTGCACCATGACAGCCAAGTGGAGAAAAAAGCAAATTCATAGGCTGAAACACAAGAGCAGAAAGATGAGGCAGAGGTCCAAGTAACCAGACTGTGCAGACCACAGAAGCCACAGAAGCAGAGATAGAATGACCCTTGGTGACATTCTCAGGAAGTCAGAAACCTTTGGGAGACATCATCCCACCCTACGAAGGACTCTATTAGCTCTACCACCATCTGATAAGGACTCTTACCACCATCTGAAGATCTCCCTGACAAAAGGACATGCCATCATTTAATGCAAATTCCATCTACCTGCCTCTTGACTTTGTGCCATGGTACTTTTGTCATTCTGGACTGATTGTTTTCCTTGTGGCTTAAGTGTAGCATGCCTGTATAATAAATCCTCACTACTTTCTTGTTTGAAAAAAAAATAGAAGTGACTCAAACCCCTTCATTTAACCAATGAGGTCTATGGGAAAATGAGATCTAAGGAAGTTGTGACTCAAGATGATAGACAGGAGCTCGAAGGGACTGCAGGTGCTTGTCTAGTCCAAACCTCTCCTTTTACAGATGAGGAACCTGAGACAAGGTAAGTCATTACAAAGACATTAATGTAAGACATTACACAGGTAAAGTCATAGATGAAATTTGAACCCAGGTCATATGGTCAAAACTTAGAATATGAGTCAGTAAACATTTATTAAATGCCTACTATGTACCAGACACTTGGTATACAAAGAAAAGGTAAAAGATAGTCCCTGCTCTGGAGTTCAGCCTAATGGGGAAGACAACATATAAGCAACTATGCCCAAAGAAGCTATAGATGGGATAATTTGAAGAAAATCAGTAGAGGGAAGGGACCAGAATGAAAGGGATTGGGAGAGGCTTCCAGTAGAAGATGGCATTTTAGCTAGGACTTGAAAGAAGCCAGGGTTGCTAGGAGGCAAACATGAGGAGGGAAAGTATTCCAGGTCAGTCAGAGAAAATGGGTGAGTCAGGAGATGGAGTGTTTTGTTTGAGGAGCAAGGAGGCCAGTGTCATTGGATTGAAGAGAATTGGCAAGGGGGTGGGGCAATAAGGTATAAGAAGCCTGGAAAGGTAAGGAAGTGGGGCTAGGTTATTAAAGGCTTTGAACCCCAGAGGATTTTCTGTGTGATCCTGGAAATGACAGGAAGCTACTGAACTTTATTGAGTAGGAGGGGGGGGGTGACAAGGTCAGACCTGTACTTTAGGAAGATCGCTTTGGCAGCTGACTGAAGAATGTACTGGAGTAGGGAGAGAAACTGGAGGCAGGCAGACCCACCAGCAGGCTATTATAATAGTCCAGGTATGAAGTGATGAAGGCCTTCACCAGAGTAAGGGGCAGTATTAGAGGAGAGAAGGGGGGGGTGCGGTATGTGAGACAGGTTAATGTTACACGGACAACTTGGCAACATTGGATATGAGGAGCTGATGATGATGAGCCTGGATTACTGGGGTACCCTCAACTGTAATAGCAAAGTTCAGAAAAGGGGGAGTTTGGGGGCAAATATAGTGAATTTAATTTTGGACAGGCTACATTTCAGATCTCTATGGGATGCAAGATGTTCAATAGACAGTCCGAGATGTGAGACTGGAGGTCAGCAGAGAGATTAGGGCTGGATTAGTAGATTTGAAAATCATCAGCATAGAGATAATAAGAGAGAAGAAAAGAGAGTCCCAGGACAGAGCCCCATGGGATACCTATAGCTGGCAGGCATGACTTTGATGGAGATCCAGCAAAGGAGAGTGAGGATGGGTCAGATCAGTAAGAGAATAGACATAATAGTGCCACAAAAACCTAGAGACAAGAGGAGAAGAGGGTGATTGTCAACACCAAAAGTTGCAGAGAAGTCAAGAAGGATGAGGTTTGAAAAAAGGCCATGAGATTTGGCTACTAAGAGATCATAATAACTTTGAAAGAAGCAGTTCTGGTAGAATGATGAGGTCAACAGTCTAGGTGAAGAGACTTCAGAAGTGAGAGGAAAGGAATTGGAGGCTCCTGTTAATAGGCAATGGAGGAAACAACATATAAATAACTGGGTACATATAAGATACAAACCTTCAAAGGAAGGCAGCCTTAGAAGGAAAGGCTTAAGTAACTAGGGATGCTAATAAGCACTTCTGCTAATAGCAGAAGATAGAATTTGAGTCTTGAAAAAAGGTAGGGATATCAAAAAGCAGAGGTAAGAAGAGAGAGAGCCCAAGGTATGGGGGACAGCTGGTACAAAGTCATGCAGATGGGAAATAGAGGGCTGTGAGTGAGGGCCAGAACATAGGCTGGTATCACTGAGTTGTAGAGTACATAGAGGGGAGTAAAGGTGTGAGAAAACTGAAAAGATAGGAATAATAATGCCAGGTTTCGAAGAGCCTTAAGTGACAACTGAGACACTTTGTATTTGACCTTGGAGGTAAGAGGGAGGCATTGGAGTTAGATGTGATTGGATGTGTATTTTAGAAAAATCATTTTGGCAGTTGTGGGGAAGATGGATTAGAGTGGGAGGAGACTTGAGGAAGGACAACCAACTAGAAGGCTATTACAATAATCTGGGCAAAAGTGATGAAGGTCTGCACTAGTATGATGGCTGTGTATGTGAGTAAGGGATATATATGAGCAATGTTATTGTGGTAGAGTTGATGAGATTTGACTAATTACTGAATACTCAGGGTAGGTAAGAGAGAGGAATTGAGGACAAAATGAAAAAATATCTTCAAGTAAAAATTAAATACTTTCAGGCTCAAAGAAAAATTGTTCATACTTGGCTATGCTATAGAAGAGTATTGAGGGAAATCTTTTGCAGTTGTAGAGGATATGACCAGGAGTAACCTGTTCAACTTAATAAAGTTAAAGAATGAGTCCTTTGTTCTGCTCTTAAAGGCATTTCTCTATAGAAACTGTAGTCAACATATTGAGAGGACATTTCCATGTAGGGGTATGGAAAATGCCCTTGGCCTGGGTATTCAGTGGCTCACTGGTTGTACTATAGACACATCATTGCTTGATTGAGTCATGTCTACTGAAGATGTATCCTGCATTCTTGGGCTTAGTCTATAAATGGCATATATCAGTGTCGATGAGAGTCCAGAGAACCACAGCAGAACTAAAGATCAGAGCTGAAAGACTTAACACAAAGAGTGGATTTGCATCCCTGGGG